GTTCAAGTCCATTTAAATCTCCTCCAAAACTGGTACAGAGATTGGGGGATAAAAATAAACGAATCAAAATCAGCCCACTGCACATTCACTCTAAGGCCTAGAAACTGCCCTACCATAACCCTCAATAACATACCCATTCCACCCACACAAAATGTCCAGTACCTTGGACTCCACCTGGATCGTCGATTGACCTGGGCCCACCACATCCATACCAAACGTATTGCCTTGAATAACCGATCCCGTCAGCTACGTCTACTCCTTACATCTAAACACATCAATCTGAACAACAAAATACTTATATATAAACTGCTACTAAAGCCCGTATGGTCATATGGTATATAACTTTGGGGTTCAGCCAAACCATCTAACATAAATAAAATTCAAATATTCCAATCTAAATACCTTCGACAAATTACCAAAGCCCCCTTTTACGTCTCAAACGATACACTCCACAAGGACCTATCTATTCCAACAGTTCAACTCGTAGCCAAAACTTTGTATAAACGATTCCACTCAAATCTCTCCAACCACCGTAATCCTCTAATCTCAAACTTATCCACTCCCAGCATTCCAGGTGACCCTGGACGACATTTGAAACGAAAATGGTGTCGGGACCTCCTGACTGAATAAAACCCATCCGCAACTCCAAAGAAGTCCCATCACTGGATGGGTTCTTCGCTCAAGTCTTCAGTCTTCTTATATAAATCTACTACAACACTTACACTTATTGTAAAAATAATGACTTTTTTAGTTCATTGGACACGTAAGACATTTATAAACGTGCTGCTGGCGATAATTTTGTAGAAAAAAACAGTAACGAAATCCACGAATTTCCGATCATACGCTAATCATCAGTGCCTGTGCACATTTATGTGTATATATAAAACATTGTTTGATATTATTATAGTGCCATAGTAATTATTTGTATAAACACAGATTATTAATGGAAAAAAAATAAAATAAATTTAAAGTTTATTTATGTTTTATCGTGTAATTACGCAAATATTTTTTTTTTAAGTTATCATCATATAATATAGAATTTTTATTTTTTCAATACAAAAAAAAAAAAACGTATTGGTTAATTATAATTAAAGACAGAATAAAAGAAGAAAAAAAAGATATAATTGCGGTAAAAATATATTAAAATTGCAGTATAAATATGTTAAAATTTCTATGAGAAATATACTAAAATTACATAGTAAAATCATATTAAATATGTTCATTAATTACTTAGTTAAATAATATTATGGACATTAATATAATATTTACAAAATATATAATTTTTCTGAAATAAAATTTATAATTATATATATATCTCTAAATTGTGTTCTTGAAAATTATATCGTCTGTTACTTAAAATATGTTTATATAATGAAAAAGTATGTTCAACGTCTACACTTGTTACCGATGCATATTTAAAAATGTTGGTGTTGTATCTAAATTAATTTTTTCATTTCCTGTCATATTATTTTCCCATTGGAACCTGGAATATTTATCGAAATATTTTCAATTTTACTAAATATGTATAAACTATTAAGTAATTGACTATTTGATTCTTCTAAACTTGTGAGTTTTGTGGATAATTCTGCCAAATAAAATTTTAAAAATACTAAACTACATTAAACTAAATGTAAAAATTTATTTCATAGTTATATTTTTATTGTAAAATTACTTTAGAAATTATATTATAAATTTGTATATTTTATCACGTGAAGTATACAAAAATTGTAATTATTGCAAAAACGTTGGAAATTGCAAAAAATTGCATTATTAAATTAAATAATAATACTATAATTAATCCGATTCGTATACATATTTGATCAGATTTTATTTACCTGGTATCAATAAAAGGTTACAATATCTATTAAATTCGTTGAATATGCATTACAACGCACACTCGGTGACTGAAGTGTAGAATATAAGAATTGCTTATTGTCTACGATTTAATAATAATGACGTGAACAATTTAACTGGGATATTATGAATGGAACAATAAAATTTAAGAGGTTTCAATGCTTAACTCGAATATCATTAACATTACATTTTTATAAATGTGTTTGTATTTTTTTTTTTTTTTTTGTAATCTTCTCCCGGCAGTCTATCGTTTTCGACAAAAATACATGCACTATTATTAAATGAAAATTAACGATTTTGTTATTAACAGGATTTTATCGACGATTTCGAAGAATTTCTACTTAGGTTATTAAAAGCTATCCAATTAAAAAACACAAGTGTAATAGTGTGAGCATCATGATTTTTGTTTTTCAATAACCTTCTTTTTTTTTTTTTTCGTCAGAACAATGCAAACTTTGACAGAATAGATCAATTGTTTTAAAGTCCCATTTAGATTTAATAATTATAATTTCAGTTTGGTGTTCTAAATTTTATAAGCTGTGTAATATGGTAAAGTTTGTTTTGTAACTACCTAGAATATCACATAAACAATTGTTCACAAAATGGAAGACTAAATTTTAAATAATATACTATATAACTTATATTCAATCGGATTGTTCTAGAAATAATAAGATTTATTTTTTTCATGGTTCGTCACTGATAATAGAGTGCAAAATAGATACAATTAACACATAAATTTCTCATGCAAAACTTTGATCTCATTGTGCATAATTATTTCCCTTTTGGTTTTCGATCTATAGTAGGCTAGGTACTTGGAAATGTTTTTTTTTCTAATTGTCAACTGAACCGCGTATTGCAATTATTTATAGGACCGCATAAAATGAAATAACTATACGATAATGTTTTTCGGCGAAACGCGAAATTATTACGTCAGCGAAAAATAAAAACAAAAATAAATAGTTCGGTCGTTGATGCGTAGGAGTGGAGTGGTAAAAACTAATGGCTTGTCGGCCGGCGTTATGATGTTAACGAACTCAAACAAAAAGTCGTACAATAAACGAATCGCATTTGTTTTTTGTGCCACACGTTCACGTTAACCGCGCTGGTAATAATAATAATACTACAGCAATAACAATAACATTGACATAAGAGAGAGGCCGTGCCACAGTGGTCAAAAAATTAAAAAAAAAGGAAAAAATGTTGAAAATGATTATTGGAATTAACTATTTTTAAAAGTTGATTTGTATTCTATATGAGAATGAACATTTAATCTAATAGCTATTAGTTTAATAGTACCACTTTTAGTGAAGATAATACATCGCTTAATGTTTGCGATAACAAGATATAGTATTTTTCGTACACTCACAAAACTCTAAGTACTCATTTCTTCCCGACATTTGTTCGAAGATATTTAATATTTAATCGACATATTTGGTACCAGTGGAAAGCTTATAAGGTAAGGAAAATAAATTTACTAAAATTTATATTTTTATTTACCTAGAACATATTATTTTAATTAGTTAAATTATATTTAAAATACGTTTTTATTGTACATAAAAATCTAAAATAGTCGTAGTTTTTAAAAAAAGTAGCGTGAAGTAGTGTGAGAGCGTAGGTTAAGTATAATTCTATAATTTGTCCTAAATAAGATTTCATAATTTCCAGCTGCCCGTATTTGCCCAATTTTTTATAAATAATTTTTGTTTAGAATTTGTTGAATGAAATGAAGTCAAAATTAACACACCGAGATTTATACTTCAAAATATTAGATTTAAAATCTAACAAAAATTATAAAGTTGAGGCCCTCTATGATTTTGTTCTATGTAAAGTGGATTATGTGAAAGAGCAATCTGAAAATTATCAAAGTGATTTGAAAAAAAAATTGCATATTTTTATGAACGAATTTGATAAACGATGGCAGAAATGCAATAGAACGAAAAATCGGTTTGACACAATTTTTTGAAACGTGGCTAAACAAAAAATTTATTTTTTCTGAAGTTTCAAAAAGTTTACCAATGTCCCACGTAGGACGACCAAAGGTGCTTTTTTCTAAAGCGTGTGACAAGACAAAAAGGCATAAAACCCAGACATTGCGTACGTCGAACTCAACAGAAGAACTTGTTTATACGGCACAGTTAAGTTTAAAAGAAACCGGAAATGTCGATGCTGCTAAATTATTAAAAGAAGCGACGTCTACTACTCCTACTCGTGCTTTGAACATTCAAAGGGCGTATACTGCATTTCAAAATGTTAAACCAGTTCAAATGTGTTCTGAAGAAGATGCATTGGCATTAATTATAGATGCTAAACTCACCAAATCACAGTACACATTAATACGATTACAGGCAAAACAGAGAAATGCAAATATATATCCTGCATACAATAAAATACTCGAAGCGAAGTCCCAATGTTATCCCAAAAAAGACCAAGTATTAATTACAGAAATATCTGCGGAAGCAACTCTGCAATCGTTATTGAACCATACTGTACAACGAATATTTCAGTCTATTGAAAATTTATCAGCATACGAATTTAAAAATAATACAGTTGTTTTGCTTAGTAAGTGGGGATTGGACGGGTCATCAGGGCTGGCCCAATATAAACAAAAATTTAATGATGTCCAGAGTGCGAGTGATAGCAATATTTTTTTGACATCTTTCGTTCCAATTCAAATTATTATGTATTCAGGTGAATCAAAAGAGGTATTAAAAGAATTTATTTGGAAAAATCCAAGAACATCTTCAACCAAATACTGCCGACCAATTCATATACAATTTCAAAAAGAAACGACCGAATTGATACAAAACGAAGTATCAAATATATCGAATCAAATTCAAAACTTGGTATCTTCAATAGTTAATTTAGGAAATGACGATTTTGTATCAGTAAAACATGAGCTTGTGTTAACTATGATCGATGGAAAAGTATGTAATGCTATATCAGATAATAAGTCGGCACAAAAATGTTATATATGTGGTGCAGGGCCAAAAGATATGAACAATTTAAATACGATAAAACAACGTCCAATTGATCCATCAACACTGTCATTTAGTTTATCATCCTTGCATGCTTGGATAAGATTTTTTGAATGCCTCATTCACGTTGCGTATCGATTAGGTTTTAAAAAATGGCAAGCACGGGGAGATGACCAAGAAATGTTAAAGAAAAAGAAAAAGGAAATACAAACTAAGTTTAGACAAGAATTGGGTCTGTTGATTGATCAACCTCGTCCTGGAGGAAGTGGCACGACTAATGATGGTAACACGGCCAGACGATTTTTTTCTAATCCAGACGTATCATCTTCTATAACCGGTGTTGATAAAAATATCATAGTACGATTCAAAGTTATACTTGAAGTTATATCATCAGGTGAAAAAATTAAAGGTAATATAAAACAAAATAATGTCATTTAAAATAGTATCTTAGGTATTCTACTAGCTTAATAAAATAATTAATAAATAGGTAATGAATGCATAACCATTTAAAAAATATTAGTTTTCTTTATATTATTTTAGGAGTTGAATTCAATAATTATGCATTTGAAACAGCTCAATTATTCATTAGTAAATATCCATGGTTTTATCTACCAGCATCCGTTCACAAAATTTTGATTCACGGAACACAAATTGTTGAAAATGCCATATTGCCAATCGGTTTATTATCAGAAGAAGCACAGGAAGCTAGGAATAAGGATATGAAGAGGTTTAGGGAAAATAACACAAGAAAAATATCCAGAAAACATACAATGGAAGATTTATTTAATAACTTGCTCATTTCATCAGATCCACTTATTTCGAGTAGAAGAAAAATTAGCAATAAAAAATCAACCACATTATGCGATGAAGCAAAACTGCTTGTATGTATTGTAGGAGAAAATAAAGAGGATTTTTACATTAATGAGGAAAATAGTGAAGACGAATTTATGGAGTACGAATAATTAAATTGAAAACAACTAGCATATTGTGAACATTTGTATATTAAAATGTAGATTAATATATAAAAAACTAATTCGTAATTAATTTACTGTAAATAACAATGAAATAAAATATTAAATACTTTTTATTATTTGCTTAAATCAAAATATAATAAAAATCACCATGAAAATATTTTTTTCCAACTTTTTTTTTTATGGACCACTGTGCCGTGGCGTGAAAACGGACACTGGTACGGCAATGGTAGACGTGTGGTGGTGACGAGGGAGATTTAAGAGATAATTACCCTTGTTAGTATAGGACACAGGCGAGTGGGCTTCTGCTTTTGTGGCGGTAGCAATTATTCGGAAATGTATTGCCAACAGCAGCGACTTATGTTCCAATTGTTTTTATCGAATCATTAGTCTCGTCAGTCTGTCCCTCTCTCTCTATGTATACAACTCTCATCTCCCTTTTTTTCCCATCATTCGTAAGGGGGTAAGCTTTATACGAGTACACCGATATCGTTCATTATATAATGACAAAACGCTGGTACATATATTCGCCGTTAACTCGACTAGCTTGACCGAATTAATTCTATTAATGTTCTACTGAATGGAGAGGGATAATGGAAACTTTGTCATTCACCGTTTCTCCGCGTAACGATAGTTGTAAATGTAACCGAACTCGATGTGTTAAACCGTACAATAAGCTTTCTTATTTTAACGACCTTTCTGAAAATAATAACAACAACACTGATAGAGTTTTGCGTTTTTTCTTTTCGATTTAGTTTAACCTTACGGTTGTTCAACGCTGGTAATACGATTATTTTACGTTATTTAAACAATGATGTCTTTTCAAAAAATTCGCATTCGGTGTTGATCACAATATTGTTCACTGTCGGATTTTAAAGTTTTACTGACCACCTTATTTTAAGCCAAGTGCATCAGTATTTCGTATAATACATGCATATCTTACTGTTATTTACTGTAGTTTACCTATTAATTTATTTCATCGCAGCAGCTTAATTATGGCGGTTCGCTTTGTATTGGAAATATTACTCATTCAACGGTAGGATTAGATATTAATTGTATTTAATCACTTGATGTCAATTTACCAATAGATTACTGTTCATATTCATTACAATACAGACAACATGAATCGTAAGAATAAATACACAACGAAGAGCATAAGAATTCTGAATTCCGGGGCGATCGAGTTTTGACGATTTTCATCGTTATTAAATGTTGTTGCGGCATTTAGTGCCATTTAATCTGCAAGATACGTATCATGGTGGGTTACGCACGTCGTAGGAATGCGTGCGTAGAAAAAATATTCGGTGGTTGAAATAATAATAATTATAATAATCCATATGATATAGATTCGTTATGGTTATGTTAATTGTATAAATTAGTAAGAAATGATAAATCATTGCAGTTGGATAATTATTATTATTATTATTATTATTATTAGGTATAATTATTCTCAGTAAAAGTGTATGATGAGTATTTGCATGTGTGTATAAATCTTGTTTATGTTTTTGAATATCATTTCGGTTCATGTCCAAGCAGTTATAAATGTAAGAATTCACGAAATACAAATCACATAATCACGAATATTCGAAAAAGAAACCAAACATTTACGTAAGAAATACGTATGTTCAAAGTATGTGATATGAGTATAAAAAACTACGTCACTAGTCAAGGGCTAACATAAAAATATTGTGCATTTAGTTCTATGCGCGATCAAAAGTCCCGAACGACTTCGGTGACGGTATTCGGACAAATACCATATCGGACCGCTTGCAGTCGCGACGATCTTATTGTCGCGCACTCGTTTCCGCGTTGATCGTCGTTTCATCGCTTTATTATTTCGAACAAACATTGTATCTTATTATTTGTGCACGGTCGTGCGCGCGCGCATAGTATTTAAAACACGTCGGAAAACAATGGGAACGTATCGTATTGTCTCGTCCCGATGATAAATAGACATACGGGTACGATGAGCAATTAGCTCCGGGCGATCCATAGTAGCACGACTGCTAGGTACCGCGCGTTATGCGTATCCTTCGCCGGGCCGGTCGAACACCGTCACCGCCGTTTATCCTGGCAGTCCTCGAGAACGGAATCCTTGCCAACCTCGGTCTCCTTTTATGTACGTGTTCATGCGTGCGTGCGTGTGTGTGTGTATGCGTACATTATACCTGTACGAACACATAATACATCTAAGGCGTTGACGCGGCGATTAATAATAAATTAACTGCAGCTAATGACGCGTCGGCGTTTTATTCCGCGCGTTTCGCAGGGGTGCCCAGAGAGGTTTTATTATTATTATTATTATTATTGTTATTATTATTATTATTATTATTATTATTATTATTATTATTATTATT